CTCGACGACTACAAGCCCACCTGGCAGGACCAGCTGGCCACTCCAGGTGAGGACACCACACCCACAACAGAGAGGGGCGGGGTTTATCAACAGAGGCTCATGAGGCTCAGCTGTGATTGATTAGCGCTGACCTGCTTCCTGTTTCAGGGATGATGATTCGCCCAAAGGGAAACCAGCTGGAGATCACCTTCTCCACCTCAGACACCGAGAGCTGGGACGGCTTCATCCACAATCTCAACTCCTTCCTGTCCCGTAAGAGCCCCGCCTCTTTAACCACTTATCAATATAACTGAAAGGTTACCTGCCCACTTACCTGTCACACCTGCGTCTGTACCTGTGTGTCTGCAGCGTACAACGACAGCTATCAGGTTCAGACCAACGATGAATGCACACCTGACGAGTACTTCATCCAAGAGGACAGCGGAGAGGTACGCCTGTCTGACCCACACCTGTCTGACCCACGCCTGTCTGACCCACACCTGTCTGACCCACACCTGACTATCTCACCTACACCTGTCTGACCTGCTCTCTCTGCAGGTGAGGAACAATCCCAAACGTTCCTGTCAGTTCAATCGGACGATGTTGGAGGAGTGTTCGGGGGTTTTGGATCGTTTCTATGGTTACGACAAAGGACAGCCCTGCATCCTCATCAAACTGAACCGGGTATGACCTCTGACCCCCATGTTAAGCCACTCTACACTCTAGTGTTACTGCAATGAAAATGATTTTGCCAGAGGAGGAAGTGCTTCCTGTCTGTAGGTTTCAGAAAGTGGCCAATCAAAAGAGACTTTTAACCTCAAACCCTCCAATGACATTCTCACGAGCTGTTCTTCTACCTGCTGCAGGTGATCGGGATGTTACCGGGGAAGGAAAGACAGTCTCCTTATGTCACCTGTGCAGCAAAGGTCTGTAAACCTGTCTGTCTGTAAACCTGTCTGTCTGTCTGTGGACCTGTCTTCATCTCACCTGTGTCGTCTCCATCCTCAGAGGTACAGAGTGGGTGAAAATGAGTGGGTAAGACCAGCAGACCAGGAAGTAGATCATGATAGAGTCCCTTAGTGCCTCCATCACAGAATCACAGCAGAGTTACGTGTTAGTAACCTCCAGTTCCAGGTTATTGAAGCGTATTGACGACCAATCAGAAGTATTGATCAGTGTGTTTGTGTGCAGAGGGAGGACAGCGACAAGATCGGACCTCTGGCTTATTATCCTCCTAATGGGACCTTCAACCTCATGTACTACCCGTACTATGGCAAGAAGGCCCAGGTACTCGCTCAGTATTCACTCAGTGCACACTCATGCACATGCTCAGTACACACAGAGTACTGTACTAATACTGACATGCGATGTGTTTACTGTCTCAGGTGAACTACACTCAGCCTCTAGTGGCCGTGAAGTTCCTGAATGCCTCTCTGAACACAGACATCAACGTGGAGTGTAAAGTGATCTCCAACACGCTCGCCGCCGGCAGTGACAGGGACAAGTTCGCCGGACGCGTCTCCTTCAAACTGCGAATCAACGACAAATAGACACACACACTGACACAGACACACACACACACAAACACACACAAACACGTGAAAGCTGCACTCATCCAGATGTTTCCACTTCCTGTCACAGCCTCACACTGACCAGCTGTATTTTATAATTCCATGTTGTGTTCACTGACCATGATGGTGATGCGTTCACTGACCAGGGTCATGATGCATTTACTGACCATAATCATGATGCATTCAGTGACCATGATGATGATGATGCGTTCACTGACCAGGGTCATGATGCATTTACTGACAATGGCCATGATGCATTTACTGACCATGATCGCGATGCGTTCACTGACTGTTTAAAGTGTCTGTTTCTCACTGGATTCCCTGGTAGTTGTAAACACACAGTTCCTTTCTCTGATAGGACCCCTCGGTGCAGCTTTAACTCAGACACACCCACCCTCAAACCAACCAATCAGCACGCACACATAGTCTGATGTCACTGCCACTGGAGGCCAGTGACAGGCCAGTGTTCACCTCCATGGTGGATCAGTCTGCATGAATCAAAGAGAGAATTATTGATCCCTCAATGTACACTTTATTGATTGTTTATTTATTTGTTTGTTTACGACGTGTTTGTTTACACTGACATTCTTTAACTAAGTCAGAGATGAGACATGTGAACACAGAAACACTCAGACGTCGACCAATCACAGTAATTAATGACCTCATAGTCAGGTGACTGCCAGTGTGGAGTCAGTTCTCGGTTCTCTGATAATGAACCACATCTTCTACATCATTCCCAGTCCAGAAGCCACAAACCCTAACTGGTTTGTCTTATCGGCCATGATAAATGTCTCCTCGTTTGTTGCCACGGAAACAGCTGAACTCACAGCCAATCGGAAGCTAGCTTTAGTTTCCATTCCCGCAGCTTTAGTGTGATGATGTCACCTCGTTTCTTCTTTTCCTTTTTGTGTGGCTGCAGCTGATTGGCTCCTTAGTTAGAAAATCAATTAGTGCTCACCTGGGTGAGTTAGGTTAGTTAACGAGGTAGGAAGTCGTTAATGTTTGCTTTTGTTTGTTATTTATTTGTTTGTTTGTGTGTTTCTGTTTCCACCATGGGGCTGAGCATGACAACACACACACACACACACACAGTCAGTGTCCTCAGCTCCGTCGGGGAAACACCCCCACTTACCTGTACTCCTGTCCACCAATTGTCTTCCTTTAAAGAAAGGGCCTGGCCAATCAGAGGTTCCTGCTGTATGATGTCATCTACTGTTACCTGCTTGTAACTGGTTGATTTCTCCTGCCTGAAAATGTCCTTGTGTTCAAACAGCGAATAAAAAAAAGCAAGAAATTAAACAACAAAAAACTATTTATGTTTATTTCATTGGGGGGGGGGGTCTCCTGGATGCAGTGAACACATCACTGCATCACCTGTGCAGTGATGTGTTCCTGAGGATGTTGTCATGGAGACGAGCATCTTCCCGGAGGATGGGTGAGTTTCTGTCAGTGCTGAGACTGTTTCATGTGTCTTACATAAGAGCCTCAGTTATATAAGAGCATGAGTTATAGACAGAGGTGAGCCGTGAGCCCTCTGCTGGTCACAGCCATGCATCACAACCAGACGGCCCATAATAACTACATGTCACTGTGACCATTCAACACTGCCACCTGCTGACAACCCTGCAGTACTGCGTCTTCTTCACAAACAACAAACACTTTGATATAATGTTTTTAAGACAGTAGTGTATCCATGGTTACCATGACTGTGTAGCCAGGTACGATGTGAGTCGAACCTGAAGTTGACAGGGTAACCACACATCCTGTAGTCAAACAGGTTACATGAACAGCTACCTGTAGAGAGTTATTAAAGGTCAGATCACAAAACAAGTTTGGCAGTCGAGCGATGATGCAAAGATACTCAGTAAACAAAACTATTTTAACAATCTCCATGGAGACAGGGACAGTGACGACTAGGGGAGGAAAGGTCCATTTCCACGACATCAGGACAGCTACAGTATCTGAAGCTTGGATCAAACACAGAATAACTCATCGAGCCGTTATCAACGAAACAACCTGGTCGTTTACGAACAGTTTATTAAGTTCAACTTCACCAATCCAATAATTTTGACTGCCTTCTTTTCTGTTCGAATTTCTAAAACTACACGTACCATCTCTCTGGCTCTTGAATAAACCTTAAATACCTGCAGGACTCTGTTAAGGTCTAGCTCCGTGCTGGGATGTCCCCTGGAGTCTGTGGAGGTGGTTGGCGAGAGGAGGATGTTAGTAAAGCTGACATCCATCATGAACAACCCACATCACCCACTGCATGAGTCTGTGAGTGGGCTGAGCAGCTCCTTTAGTCAGAGACTGAAACACCCTCGCTGCAGGAAGGAGCGCTTTGGCAGATCATTCATCCCAACAGCAGTTAGACTCTGTAACTCCTCAATCACGATGTCATGACTCACTGGACACTGTGAACATCCACGGTCACCACTTCATGCATAATGGACCTTCATGTGTACGGACATGTGCAGGTATACATATCTGTATATGTATACATATGTATATCTAGTGTGTACATGTCTATACATAGGAATAGTAGTGGTACAATAGTTATGTTAAGCTATATAGTTTATGTCCTGCATATTTCCAACCATATCCATAATCACATACTGTGTATGTATCTTATCTGATCTTGTCTTGCCTTGCCTTGCCTTATCTTATACCAATCACTCAAACTGTACCTGTAATACAAATGCAAGTAAGGGTAGTGGAACTCCTGGTTTCTATTACAAAAGTAATATAGAGAGAAACATGTTGATTCTGCATTTGGGACTGAACATTAATCATGGTTCTGGTATTAAAGGTATTAATATTAATGGGATTAATGGGATTACACAGCTTTAACTCAAATGACAGATGACTGTTTAAGAAGTACAGGTGGTTGGAGTGGTACTGATGACAATTTATTGTTAAAAACCATATTAGAATCTGATGGTTTAATCGGTTTGCATGGTTATGGACGAGCAGTTATGGATGACTTTTGTTCCCTGTGTCTCCTTTGTTAGATCACAGGTGTTGAACTCCAGGCCTCCAGGGCTGGTGTCCTGCAGGTTTTAGACGTGTCCTTGATCCATCAACATGTCTTGAAGTTCTCCAAAGGCCTGGTAATGAACTAATCATTTGATTCAGGTGTGTAAAGAGGGTGAGCTCTAAAACCTGCAGGACACCGGGCCTCCAGGCCCTGAGTTAGATTATGTTCAGCTGTGTTCCCTCCTATGTTTTGGTCCCTCGTTTGCCCTCCTGTGTATTTATGTCTTCGCCTCCCTCGTTGTTGTTTTTCCCTGTATGTTTAGTTTACATTCCTGTATGCAGTATCTCCAGCACTCGGGCACTAAAGCTGTTTTTGAGTTCAAGTCCTGTCTGCGAGTCTGCATAGGGTCCAATCTTGCCTGCTTCACAGCCAGTTCATGACAATATCAATGGCCTTTTTACCTGGATAAATAAAGGATTAATAACCTAACACTGAGGAAAGGTTAATATAGTCTTAGATTCTCAGGTGCAATCAGTAGTTAAATGGATATTACACATATTTTGAAAGTGTCTCACCCTCATAAAACATTTGGTTCCAATTACACTGTGAATCTAGTTTTAAAGGTTTCTATTGAACGTGTGTTTGTTGGTCCACGAGACCAGGCTGTAATCTTACACAGTAAATTATCCTGGACAGAACATGTTATTATGATTACTACTAGAGCGTACAATGATGTTGATGTGCGAAGGTTTTGACCTAAATGATATTTTAAGGTAAAGATCCAAGGAAAACAGACTAAAAACACAGGAAGAAACCTGCAGCAGAACCAGGCTCGTGGAGGGGCGGGGCCATAGTGAGCAGATGGTGGTTCCCACTATGTGACTGTTGGTGTCACACCCCATGAAACACTGGGGCTCTCACTTGGTGTTGGCTCTCTCTGCGTTAGAGTGTCCCTTCCTGTTCCTGTTCCAACACCCAGTGGTGTTTTTGTGTAGCTTACCTGCATTGCAATTTAATTAAAAACTTATAGAGAACTTCTTATTTCATATCCTCACGTGCTTCATCCGACGCAAACCTGCTGTTTATTCACTTGATCTTAGTTTATCTTTATCTTTAATTATATTTAGCTTAGCTTAGCCTTTAGCTGACATGTAGGCTATTTGTAGCTTTGGAGTCCAGGATCACTGAACCGGAGACTCGGTTTTGCAGGCCTAAAAACCTGATAGCCAGGCCTGTGTAGCCCGTGCAGCCGAAGGTAGCATAGGCCCTGTTAGCTGTCCCCCAACAAACTGTCCCGAACAGCCGGCGAAACAGGACAGCTGGTGACAGTGAGGAGCAAACATAGTCTTAAACAGAAGCCCCTGGTACACCACCAATTATTAGCAAGTCCAGCATAGTACTGAGTCGTGCTCTGGACACGAAGACAGCAGCAGCAGCTTTTTTAAAACTTGGACACAGAGCTGATCTTATCAGCAGTTTCTCTTCTGCTTTCAATAGATCTTAGCTACAGAAGAAGACACAAACTGTACAGACCACAACTTCATCTTTTTGTGGTATTTTTGTTTTTTTTGCAGATGTGTGAAACAGCCAGAGAGCATCAGCCTGTCAGTGATGAAGTGTTTCATCCACTGACAGATCAGTAACTCTGGAGCTCCATCAACTGGATTGAAAGGGTTAACCAGAGATGGACGAGTGTGTGTGGATGGCTGCAGAGTCAGCGTGTCCTCTCTGAGCTTCATGGAGCTGTGAGAGGGACAGCTGGGACACTTTAGGAAGGACCTCTGTGAGCCGGACACACAGCTGACGTGACAACAGGAAGTGACGAAACCGGAGCCCGAGGCATCTCTCTGCTGCTAAGACCGCACGCCTTCAGTTGAAATCCAGACACCATGAAGACGGCTCCTCTGCTCCTCCTCCTCAGTGAGTCCTTCACTCAGTTATTGGATCAGAGTGTGAGACGAAACACAGCGGACCTCTGAGCAGGTCCTGTTGGAGGGTTTCAGTGGTCACTTTGTGTTACAGCACAGCTGACAGTCAACAGTCCTTCATGTACTCTGACTCCATGGATGGAAACAGATTCTGTGACATGTGAAGATCATGTGAGTCGTTGGCTGATGTCTCTGTGTTTCACACAGTGCCGAGGCTTTCATCCGCCTTAATGAGCACAGTCTCCTTCCAATCCAACAGCCTATTCTGAAGTGTGTCCCACTGAGGTGATCGGCCTCCCCTCCCCTTCGTTCCAGGACTACTCTGAAAGTGGTCACGTACAAGGACTCACATAGAAATGAGAGAAAGATCCATGGAGCATGTCCAAAGTAAAACCTGGAAGGATGATCACAAACAGAACTGTTGTTCAAGAACACAAAGTCTTGCTTCATGATAAAAAACTATAAAAAATACGAGGGGTGGCTTTTACACAATGCTGAAAATAAATAAATTAGTAACTGACATGAATTAACATCAGCTAATCATTGAATCCTCCCTTAGTTATGCTGCAATAGGTGTAGGCTTCTGGGGGATTCCCATGATGCACTGGGTGTTTCTTCTTCACTCACTATGTGTTAACAGACCTCTCTGTATTGAATCATATCTGTTATTAACCTCTGTCTCTCTTCCACAGCATGTCTTTTATCCTGTCTTCCTTCTCTCACCCCAACCAATCACAGCAGATGGCCCCGCCCCTCCCTGAGCCTGGTTCTGCCGGAGGTTCCTTCCTGTTAAAAGGGAGTTTTTCCTTCCCACTGTTGCCAAAGTGCTGCTCATAGGGGGTCATATGATTGTTGGGTTTTCTTTGTATCTATTATTGTAGGAGCTACTGTACAATATAAAGGTCCTTGAGGTGACTGTTGTTGTGATTTGGCGCTGTGTAAATAAAACTGAACAGATTTTATTTGATTAACATCTAATTACAGACAAAAGACTCGTCTATTGAGCCTATACTGTATAACAAGGTTATTGTCGTAGAACTTGTAACGTTGGGTTGTGTTCAGTGGTTGAGAGGAGGCGGTGGAAACCAGGATAGTAGGAAGAATACACGATCACACTGGTACTGAGAACTTCCCAGTTGAACGGCTGCTGCTTATCAAACCTGACAGACAGTGTTCTGTAACGTTGCAAAGTTTTCTGGAGAGGTAAAACAAATAAAGTCCGTCTCTCTCCATGTATTTGCGTGCAAGCACATTGCTCCCATAAATCACAGAGAGGGCAGTGGCGCACACTAATGACATCATAAATCCTCGACATTAAAGAGACACCACACCACTGTGACTGCTACAAACTGCTTAACCAAACTTTTGGTTGTTCAGGAAACAGTTTGCCAGTCACAGGTTTTAACTGGTTCCATGACGTAAATTGTACAAAGTAAGAAAAAACAGGTTTTCCTGGACCCCACCTGTTACTAAATACCTGGCAGGTCCCCAGACAGCTGTTGCTATTGTCTATTTTGTCTGATTGATCACTTAAAGTGAAAATGTGGTTTAGATCCTTTTGCAGGTAATGCCTGATTTTTTTTTCAGTGCTGTAGAACAATCAGAAAGGATGGTTCCCACAAAGCATGTTCTGGTCATGTGTCCCTACAATGTAACAAAGACAAGGATAGGTGTGTGTTATAATGATGTGTTACAGGTGTGTGTGTGGACGTCTGCAACAGTATGTTAGTGTACACCTCTGAGGACGTGAGAAAAAGCTCAAGTCTCTGGATTTTCCTCCTGTTGCAGGTGTGTGTGTGTCTGTCTGTCTGTGTCTGTGTGTGTGTGTGTGTCTGTGTGTGTGTGTGTGTGTGTGTCTGTGTGTGTGTGTGTGTGTGTGCTGCT